CGTGTCGGATCCGTAACCTGCCCAACGCGGAATCGAGATTTCTTTCAATAGCGGCAATTGAAAATAAAGATCTCTCCACTTTCGGAGAAGATCCTCAGGTATGACGTTATCCCATTCACAACGAAGCAGCCAGAGTTGCTGCATGAGAATTTTCGCGGTGATGACGACGGGAGCCATCCAGCCGAGAGGGTCGAAAATTCGTGCTATAGTCGAGAGAATCGAGCGTTTGGTGGCGGGGACGGAATCTACGAGCGTGACGTCGAATTGAAAGACGTCTTGGTTGGGGTCCCACTTGAGACCGAGTACCTTTAGACGCTCGTCCGCTTCGAGCGTTTTTGCGGAAGCAAGGCCATGATCCTGAGGATCGATGCCTTCGAGCAAGACAGGCTGGTTGCTCGCCCATTTGCGGAGATGAAATCCCGCTTTTTTTCAATAGCGAGATTAGTTGATTTCGCGTTTGAAGCGCGAGAGAGATGTCGTCTGCACCGAACACACAGTCGTCGACGTATGTGTGCAGCCGCAATACCGGAACGGCCAACGGACATTCCGCGCCTTCGTCCTTGGCGACTTGTTCGACGACACGAAGGGCGGCATTCGGCGCGTTCGCGTTACCGTACGTGACTGTTAACAAGAGATAGGCTATCAATGGCGAGGTCGGAGTGGGTCGCCATAAGATTCGCTGATACTCCACGTCGGAGGGGTGAACGAGGATTTGACGATACATTTTTGCGATATCGTCGGTAAATACAAACCGATATTGCCGCCATCGCAAAATGATGAATGACAGCTCAGGTTGCAGTTTGCGGCCAACCATGAGATGATCATTCAAGGAGAGACCATTGGAAGTCGGATGCGAGGCGTTGAACACGACGCGCAGACGAGTTGTCGAGCTATGCTCGCGTATAACTGCGTGATGCGGTATGTAATATACCTGACCATCGGGAGGGTCGTCTAGCGGCGCCTTGACCATGTGTCCGAGACGCTCGTATTCCGAGAGAAATTCGTTGTACTCTTTTGCGAAGTCCGGATTTGACTTTAGCCGCGCTTCGAGGCGCGAATACAACGCGATAGCAGACGATTTCGATTTGCCGATTACGATAGGGGGCCCTGATTTAAACGGCAACCGCACTATATATTGCCCATTGGGGGCGCGAGA